TGTAGAAGTCGTGCGCCTCGAGTACGCGGCTTATCGTTCACCTTGCGAACTTGATAAGTTTGAGATAGATTCCACCACGCATTAAGCCGTTGCAACGATGTTGACGCACTGCAGCAAGCTGGGCGAGGATCGCATCGCCGAGTAGGGGGTCAGGGGGATATCACCGCGGGGTCGAACTCTCGGCAGCCGTCTTTTTGCCGATATTCAATTCTGTCCACGAGTAGAAGAGTCCAGATATCTGCAGATAGGGGCCATTCAGGAGCAGCTCGTCGGCGCTTGCATGCTGTCGTGACCAGTGCTCGATCGCGTCGAAATCGTACTTGGCGTGTCTCCACTGATGCGTAGTAGGGCAGGACCGTTCGTCGTTTACAGCAGCGGTGTCAATGAAGTGGGTGATATCAGTAGGGGCTGCCTCCATTCCGCCTTCTGCGCCTGGGAGTGCCACATTTTCAATCCAGGTCTGAACGGAGGGTCGAGCGCCGGGCAGATCGAAGTAGCATCGCTTACCATGGCCCAGCAAGACGTCGGCAAGCTCGCCAAACCTCTGCTTCCAGTCCTGCTTCGTCGGCCAGCTTGAGTTCGTTAAAATGCTGCTCATCTCGGAGCTCGCGCAGTCGTCGTCGGAGTTTTTTGCAAGCAGCGCTGCATCGTCGGATAGCGTGTGCTCTCTAAGTCGCCCGCGAGGTTCTGCCGAGCGACCGTGCGTTCATGAAGGGCGTGTCGGCGTTGCTGCGCAAGCTGCTAATACTCTAAGTCGACCGGGGACTTCTTCGCTTCAAAATTCCCCAGAACTCGTGATCGCATCATTGATAGTAGATGTTGCCATCCAGATTCCATCGTATGCCTTTTCAGCCCAGTCCGCAATGTCACGGTATCCGTTCTCGTTGAGGTAGCTAGACAGGCCCATCTCGATGTCATCGCGGAGCTGCTTCGCCCAGTCAGCAGACCTTTCGCCATCCCAAACTAAGAATATGCGGGTGTAGTCCCACTGCGGCGTCGTCTGGGGCTTGTCGAATGTGAGGGTGCAGTCTACGTCTATAGATATATATATATATATATATAGCATCATATTGTCCATGAAGCGTTGTGATGGGAACGCTCGGAGTCTTTCGGTCAGGCGGTAGGCGATGTTGCGGCGCCGTATTCTTGGTAGATAACGTATCGGCATCACGAGGCAGTCGATGTAGCTATTGTGTCCGCGAAGCCCATGATAGGCAGGGCCGCGCGGGTGGTGCGCGCTCGTCGCGCACAGGGCGTAGTCCTTCATGAATGTGTGAAAAGCTTATCAAGCATAAGGTTGCTGCCCGTACGCGTGTATGCCTATAGTGGCGTCACCGTCATCTGCGATGCGGGAACGCTCGAGGCTGTCGTTCAGGTCTGTGCCGATGAACACGCAAGTTCGGTTCGGGAGGTTCGAGAGGATGTCGCGCAGGTAATGAAGCAGTTTATCAATGATAATTTCGTTCTTGGCGGCAGTGGCAAGTCGCTGCGATACCGGAGGAAAGCAAGCTGTGATAAATGTGAAATCGAACTGCGAGCTCTTGACGCGTGCAGCGCCTACACGGCCTCGAAGAACGGGTGGAAGCTGCCACATATTTACACTGTGTGTTTTCCGAAACCAGCGTCGACTCAGCAAGATCTCCGTACCGCAAGATTTGTTGCCTGCAGTGTTCCTACTACTGCGATGCCAGCCAAACTTCAGCATGAGGAACTCGGCCGATGAGTGTGCCTCGTAGGGGGTCATCGTCTTTGGTTGAGTTCCTGGGAGGAATACTGCATCAATATGTTCCATGTCCCGAGAGATCTCCAGGCGCTTGTCGTAGTCCTGCAGAGACATGGGATACCGTGAGATGAGACGCATATAGACCGTCAGTGTGTGACAGAGAAGCCCGGCTTTCGGGACGTTGGGCATATCGTTCCCGCTCTGGAAATGAAAGCTCGACCCAGAGCTATGCGTGTGTATATACGTATATTTATATACATATATATATATATATATATATATGCGTATGTATAAATAGTGTAAGGTGTGGAATGTCAGCTGAGCGACGCGAGCTATATAGTGCAGTCTACGCGATGCACCAAGCTACGCAGTGCAAGTTGTGTGATGAAAGCTATGCAGCCCCACATATGCGACCGCGGAGCGTGCGGGGCGCCCACGAGGCGCCACACGGGCAGGCACCGGGCGACACCTCGACACACACGCACACACTTGAAGATTGAAGCTGAGCTCGATACGGGTGGAATGGGATGTCGTCGAATTACCGGCTTCCTCCCCATCCCCCCCACCCCCATGACCTCACGAGAATGACTAACACAAACAAAAAAACGCTTGGCGTTTCGGCGCGTCCTCGTCGAGGCCCGCTTCTGCAGCAGCACGGGCAAATTCACGCTGGGGCGGGCCGACGCCTTCCATATTCAACCCCACCCCCTTCCAGGCGGCAACAAACGAGACTCCCCTTAGGCACAGGGGCCCCACGACACAAGACCGCAAGGCCTCAATGTGAGATCTCCCGGCCTCGTCGAGCACCGTCGCGGGCTGCCCCCCCGCCCCTCTTCTCCATGGCACCTTCTACCTCCTCACCTACTCCCATCCCTGCCGCCGACGCCCAATACCCTGAATATGACGAAGCCGTCCTGTACAACTATCCCAAAGCTTGTCGCCAGCGGGAATTCGTGCATACATGCAGCTTGTCGTGGTCGTCGATGAAAAAGCCGTCCTGTCCGATGATCCTAAACCTTCTCGCCAGAGATCTCAACGTCGAGCTTCTGTACTATACTCTCCCACTCTTTTGTTCTCTATTTTTCGCCTTAATCATAATTCCCGAGACGCCCCCCTGTCCGTAGCGAGTTCGTGCACGCATGCATCTTTGAGACAGATTTTCGTCGTGACTGTCGATGATGAAGCCGTCCTCTCGAATTATCCCAAAACTGATCGTTGGAATTACCGACGTCGACGTTGTCCAGTATATTAATCTCTTTCGCCAACGCCCCCTGTCCGTAGCGAACTCGCGCACGCATGCACATGTTTTTCGTGGTTGTCGAAAATAATGCCGTCTCTCGAATTATCCTAGACCTTCTCGCTGGAGATATCGACGTCGAGCTTATGTTGTTACACTCCTCTACGACATGACTGGGTTACGCCCTAATCCTAATTCCCAAGACGCCCCCCTGTCCGTAGCGAATTCATGCATGCATGCATCTTTTCTTCGTGGTTGCCGATGATGCAGCCATCCTTTCGAAGTATCCTAAGACTTCTTGCTGGAGGTATCGACATCGATATGATCCAGCACATTCTTCTTATGCGCCCGAATCAATGTTCCCGAGACGCCCCCTGTCCGTAGCGAATTCGTGCATGCATGGATGTTTTCTTTGTTTCTGTCGAAGATGCAGCCACGCGATCGAATTTTCCTAAACCTTCTCGCCAGAGCTCTCGCCATCGAACTTCTTTACGACACTCTTCTACTACATTCCTCTTCCACGCCATACTCCTGATTCCCGAGATGCCCCCGTGTCCGCATTGAATTCGCGCATGCATGCAAATGTCCTCCATGGTTGTCAACGGTGGGCCAGCGACCCGATGTCGGCTCCCCCCTGCACCCCTACACCTACACCTACATATCCCCAATCCCTGCCGCCAACGTCTAACCACACGACGATGATAAAGTCGTCCTTGTTCCCAACACAAATTTGGAAGGTTCGGCCGCAAAGCGGTTCTTGGACGGTCGCGGGGTTTGCGACAGACTGCCCCTGACCCCCGCGAACGGGGTCAACACACACTTGAACATTACTGTTGTGAAGCCTGAGCTCGATACGGGTGGAACGGGATGTCGTCGAACTACCAGCTTCTTCCCCCTCCCGCCCCCACGACCTGACGAGAATAACTAACACTAAAAAACTGTTGCCATTTCGGCAGCGCGAGACCCCCATACTGCCGCGTTCTCGTCGGGAAACGTTTCTGCAGCAGCATGGGCAAATTCACGCTGGAGCGGGCCGACGCCTTCCCACATTCAATCGCACCCCCCTTCCAGAGGGCAACAGACGAGACTCCCCTTAGGGCACAGGGGACGTGAGATCACCCCACACACACACACACACACACACACACACACACACACACACACACACACACACAGCGCACGAGGCGCCCACGAGGCGCCCACGGGCGGCCACCAGGCGAAATCTCGGCACACCAACCCAGCGCACGAGGCGCCCACGAGGCGCCCACGAGGGCCCATGGGCGGGCACCAAGCGCAACCTCGGCACACCCACCTCGCACGACGCGCCCACGAGGCGACCGCGGGCGCCTACGGGCCGAAAACCAGGCACACCAAATCAAGTAGCCTACGGTCGGGAACCGTTGCTTTACGTATCGCGGCGGCGTCCCGGCGACACGCTATGCCATGCGAGCGGATAGCGTGTCGCTCCGCTCCGCGGGAGGGGAGGCTGGGAAAAGCTCGGGACGCTGAAGCCTGGAGACCGAGAAGTGGATAGCGTGGCCAGAACCAGCGGAGCGACACGCCCAACAAAAGTTCCCAACCGTACCGTAAGTCTGCAAAGTAAGAGCGGTGGCGAGCAATGGGGGATAATGAGAAGGAGAAGGCCTCATCAGAAGGCGGCGAAACTTCTCAGAAGGCCTCCGCCCTTCTGAAAGGCTGTCTGTGCCTTCGGGGGAAGAGTTAAAACAAACTTCTGAGAAAGCTGGGCTGGGAGACTTCCGAGCCTTCTGAGAAGGCCCGTGCACGGTTTCCCCCGGGGCCGTAGGCGACCTGGGGATGAGTAGGAGGATGTGAAAGAGGAGGAGGTGGAGAAGGAGGTGGAGGAGGAGGAGGAGGAGGACGGGTCGCCTAAGCCCTTCGGAGAAACCCTCCAAAGGCCCGCCCCCTCTCACTTCCCCCCTTGGCTCGCGCCGAGAAGGACCCCTGAGTGCTGGCACTGCTATAGCGGAAGAGCTGCGAAGGCAAGGACGACGAGACTCAAAGTGCGGGGAGCCGCTGGGCCTGCAGCCCTCCGATGAGGCTGGCGCCCGCAGCGTGAGCTCGGAGCAGCGGTGCTGCACGCCGCTGCCAGAGCGCGCGCAGCGGGCCGGCGAAGAGGCCGCTGCGGCGAACAGGCCGCCGAGGCCGTAGGCCGAGCCGGCCTGGCGGTCATGGCGGCGGCGGCGCGGCGAGGATGCCGCCGAGGAGGAGGAGGAGGAGGAGGAGGAGGAGGAGGAGGAGGAGGGAGGAGGAGGAGGAGGAGGAGGAGGAGAGGAGGATGAGGAGGAGGAGGAGGAGGAGGGAGGGGGAGGAGGGAGAGGAGGAGGAGGAGGAAGAGGAGGAGGAGGAGGAGGAGGAGAGAGGAGGAGGAGGAGGGAGGAGGAGGAGGAGGAGGAGGAGGAGGAGGAGGAGGAGGAGGAGGAGGAGGAGGAGGAGGAGGAGGAGGAGGAAAGGAGGAGGAGGAGGAGGAGGAGGAGGAGGAGGAGGAGGAGGAGAAGGGAGGAGAGAGGAGGAGGAGGAGGAGGAGGAGGAGGAGGAGGAGGAGAAGGAGGAGGGAGGAGGGAGGGAGGGGGAGAAGGAGGAGGGAGGAGGGAGGAGAGGGAAGAAGCGTACTTTTCTGCAGACGCTGGCACATTGACCTGCATCGCGTGATCCCCCCACCACCACCATCCCCCTCCTCCGCGGCCTTCTCCAACAGCGCTGGGCCCGGGAAGGCGCGCAAGTGTGTCCCGACTTGCGTGAAGTGCTGATTTCCTGCCCCCAGTGGGTGGACAACAAGTGTCCACGCCCATCGTGCCAAGACAACACCACGGCGAAGTGCATCCAACAAATCGATTGCCCCCCCCCAAAAAAAAACAAAAAATCAAGTTGACAGCGGTGCACGCGAGGCAACGGGCGGAAAGACAAAGTGTGAACACTTCAACTTTGGGATTGGGGGGCGGACAGACGCTATGCAATATTAGGAGGCAACTACTGGGAGGTCCTCGTCGGAAGGACTAAGGAGGATTGAGCCCCATTGTGGGGCTGTTACGCCGGATTGGGCTTCGGATTTAGCAGGATGAAACCGTATTCAGCGGGATCAGGCGGGGTCAAGCCAGATCAAACCAGATTTCGGACCAGGGCAAAATTAGAATTTGACCTCCCAGGAGTTGCATCCGAATGAAATATGTTTGGGTCGGCGAGACTCCAGGTTGGAGCACTGGTGCTTCTGGACGTTTCTGGCCCACATCTGAGCCCCCGGGGGCACCCAAAGGGCCTCCTCCGCGCACTGCCGTCCCCGAGCTCTCGACCGCGACCATCCTCTGCTGCTCGACCTCCTCCTCCTCCTCCTCCTCCTCCTCCCTCCTCCTCCTCCTCCTCCTCCTCCTCCTCTCCTCCTCCTCCTCCTCTTACCTTCTCCTCCTCCTCCTCCGCCTCCTCCTCCTCCTCCTCCTACCTCCTCCTCCCCCTCCTCCCCCTCCTCCTCCTCCTCCTCCTCCTCCTCCTCCTCCTCCTCCTCCTCCTCCTCCTCCTCCTCCTCCTCCTCATTCCTGGGCACTCGGCGGGCCCCGTCGTCCCCGCAGCTGTACGCGGATTCCTGGGCACTCGGCGGGCCCCGTCGTCCCCGCAGCTGTACGCGGAACGGGTCAGAGGAAATTGGCTGACCCCGCTGGGGCTGATCCCCACCATCTGCGCCCTGATCTCCTGGAGCCCACTCACCGCCGTGATCGCGGAGCCAAGATCGCCGACCAGCTCCTTGCGGCAGGGAGACCAATGCAGAACGAGTTCGCTGCCAGCGCCACGGATCCCAAACCATCAACGAACATCGCACGGCCGAGAACCAAGCCAAACCGGTTCAAGAAGTTGACATCGTCGGTTGCCTTGCAAATTGGCACAGCCTTGATGTCCTGCTTCCACACGGCGTAGACAAGGGCAAACGCAGGGATGGATGGCACACCAGGCCAGGGCTCCAGCCAGCTGCGCCGCTTCCCGCTGCACACAGTCACTAGTAGCGATCGGGAGGGAGCGGGGGAAGGAGGAGTTGGATGGGGGGTAGGAGGGGGAGGGTTCTTACAGCTAGAAAGGGTGCCTGCGGCTACCACAACGAAAAGATTGAAGGGGCTAGTCGGATCCGGACTGCAGTTCAATTTCGCTGCCGTCATCGTGCCCTGGGGCCTCGAGCCTAGCCTAAGGGGGGCGACAACATGCTGGAGTGTGGCTTCCGACGTTGCCACCTCGGGATCGAAAAAAATCGTATGTTACGTCAGGGGTTGCTGGTTAATTTCCTCTGACCTCCAGCGTCGTGCTCTTTCACGTGGGCCCTGCAGCTCTCGACACCATGCCCAAAACCAGTTCTTCGTCGCAGGCCGCCTGTTGACTGTCCGTGGACCAGGAAGGAAGGGGGTCCCCAAAGGCCCAGCCTGAGGACGAGCGCCCGCCGTGATTTCCTCACGGCGTTTGGAGATCTGAGCTGGCCTGGATTCGCGCCCCAAGGTCACCCGCAGAGCCCGCTTCGGCGGACTGTGAGTGAATCCGCACCCCATCCATTAGGGTACAGCATGACGCGTACCCCCAGCCAGCTACACTGTGCCACTGCACTCCCCCATTGGGCACAGTACGCCCGAAACAGCAGCGATCCGAAGCTCGCGGCGGGCCATCAGGCCCACTAAGGCGGCTGCTCGTCTAGTGCCCAACCACCTGGGGACCTTCCACCCCTCAAGGAAGCGTACCGACTGAGAGTCCTCCTTCTCCTTCTCCTCCTCCTCCTCCTCCTCCTCGTCCTCCTCCTCCTCCTCCCTCCTCCTCCTCCTCCTTCACCTCCTCCTCCTCCTCTTTCACCTCCTCCTCCTCCTCCTCCGCCTCCTCCTCCTCCGCCTCCTCCTCCTCCTTCTCCTCGTCCTCCTCTCATCTCCTCCTCCTCCTCCTCTTCTTCTTCTTCGTATTATTATTACTATTAATCATATCAGTCGTATTAGTGTTATCATTAGTATTATCATTATTATTATTATACTATTAATATTATTATTAGTATTATTATGAATAATATTATTAGTAGTAGTGTTATTATTATTAGTATTCTTGTTACTAGTACTATTACTAGTACTAGTATTAGTGTTATTATTATTAGTAGTATTATTACTATTATTATTAGTATCATCATTATTATTATTAGTAGTATCAGCATTAGTATTATTAGTGTTAGCATTATTAATATTATTAGTATTATTATTATTATTGATACTATTATTATTAGTATTATTAATATTATTGTGATTATTATTATTTTGCCTCCTCCTCCTCATCCTCCTCCTCCTCCTGCTTCTCTTCCTCATTCTCCTCCTCCTCCTCCTCCTCCTCCTCCTCCTCCTCCTCCTCCCCTACTCGGGGAGGCCTCGAATTCGTCGATAAGGGCGCGGCCGATCTCGACGCGGCACACGCCCGTCTGGACGACCACGGCGGTCGCGGAGGTGGTCTGGGACCTCGGCGGCCCCACCAACCACGGGGGATGGAAGAAGCAGAAGGGAAGAGGCAGAAGGGAGGGAGGGAGGGAGGGAGAGAGGGAGGGACCGCAATCACGCCCGCCCCGAAAGCAACCGCCCCCCGCCGGTCCCTCTCCTCCTCCTTCCCCTCCTCCTCCTCCTCCTCCTCCTTCTCCTCCTCCTCCTCCTCTTCCCTCCTCCACCTCCTCCTCCTCCTCCTCCGCCTCCTCCTCTCTGCTTCCGTCCTCCTCCTCCTCGTCCTCCTCCTCCTCCTCCTCCTCCTCCTCCTCCCTCTCCTCCTCCTCCTCCTCCTCCTCCTCCTCCTCCTCCTCCCTCCTCCTCCTCCTCTCCTCCTCCTCCTCCTCCTCCTCCTCCTCCTCCTCCTCCTCCTCCTCCTCTCCTCCTCCTCCTCCTCCTCCTCCTCCTCCTCCTCCTCTTAGTATTATTAGTAGTATCATTTGTATGATTCGTATTAGTTTCAGTAGTACTACCAGCAGTAGTAATACTGGTATGGGTCTTATTCATAATCTTATTAGTAGTAGTGTGACTGTGATAAGTTGAATGAGAATTATCCTTATTCGTAGTTCCAAGAATCCGCCGATCCGGCGTGTGAGTTTAAGAAAGCTACAACCTGAGCTTCAGCTCTGCTGGGGGGGGCCGGGGGGGCTCTGCCGGGGTAGGGGGGGAGGGGGGGGGCATGGGGTCCACGCTTTCTCTTCCCCCCCCCGGGAATCCCAAACCGCCCCAAGACGGGCCAAAAGGGGCCCAGGAGGCCACCAAGACGGTCCAGGAGGCGCCCGAAACGGCCCAAGAGCGGTCCTGGACGCCCAAGAGGCCTCCAAGACGCCTCAAGGAGATCCCAAGAGGACCCCCAAGAGGGCCCCAAGAGGGTACAATAATAAAGTTGCTAATAGGTTTCGAAGCATTTTAACATTATCGCCTTTTCCGTCTTAGAAGCGCCGAAGACGGTCCAAGAGGCCCCCAAGATCGCCCCTAGACAGCCCAAGAGGCCCCCAAGAGGAGCCAAGACGGTCCAAGAGGGCCCCAATATAGCCCTGGAGGCCCGCCAAGACGACCCCGAGAGGCCCCCAAGATGGCCTCAAGAGGGTGAATCCGAACGGACCCTTCTAGTCCTCCACCCCAAGATGACCCCAAGAGCCCCCAAGATGCCCCCGAGGCGGCCCCAAGGGGCCCCCATAGGCCCCCAAGAGGTCCCCAAGAGGCCCCAAGAGGACCCCGAGAGGCCCCCAAGAGGCCCCAAAGGCCCGCAAGAAGCCCCAAGAATCAAGAGACCCCAAGAGGCGCTAACTCGCGTGCTGCCAGGCCAGAGGTGCACGGCCTGACTTGGTATTGCTCGGAGGCGAAAGCGATGAACGAAGAACCTTCCACCCGTCGCCGTCACCAGTCGTCGGTCGTCGGCCGTCGGCAGCCGTTCGCCGTCAGTCGTCGTCGTCGTCGTCGTCGTCGTCGTCGTCGGTCGGTCGTCGTCGTCGTCGTCGTCGTCGTCGTCGTCGTCGTCGTCGTCGTCGTCGTCGTCGTCGTCGTGGTCGTCGTCGTCGTCGTCGTCGTGGTCGACGTGGTCGTCGTCGTCGTCGACGTGGTCGTCGTCGCCGGTTCGTCGTCATTAACTCCTTTGTCGGTCGTCGTCGTAATTATCCCGCTCGTCGATCGTTGGTCGTCCGTTGTCGTCGTCATCGTCCATTTCAACAACAATAGCATCAGGAGCGCCCTGGATCGGCGGCACTGGCTGGAGGTCACTACAATATAAATAGTCTTATTGTTATGACTATTTGATGCATTAATCGTATTCTTCGTCTCCGGCTTATGCCTTCTTATTATTGCTAGTATTGTTCGCATCCGTCTCAGTATTATTCGTACTAGTATTATTTTCTTGTTCTTAATAGTATGGTTCATCTTCTTCTTGCTCGTCCTCCTCCTTTTCCTCCTCCTCCTCCTCTTCATTATCCTCCTCCTTCTCCTCCTCCTCCTGAAAAAGTCATCAACTAATGTAGTGCCCCTCGCCGAAGGCGGCGGTGTCATTGGCGCGCGGATGCGATCGGATCGACCATTCCAGCCGCCTCAGGGGTCCCGTTCGCGGGTGCTGCTCAGTTCTGGGAGCCCCTGGGGCCGTGGCGGGAGGAGGGGGGGGGGAAAGGGAGGGAGGGAGGGAGAAAGGAGGGGGGGAGGGAGGGAGGAGAGGGGCAGAAGGGGGGAGGGGGGGAGGGAGGGAAGGGGGGAAAGGGGGGAGGGGGCAGGCAGGAGGTTTGATTTGATTTGACACGTCGCAACGCAAAGGCTAGGACCAGCAACGACAAGGGAAAGCCTCTAGCGAACCCGACCCTAAGGTGAAGGGTTCCCCCGAGCCTAGCCCTCCACGCCACCAGTCGAAGCCAGGCAACAGCCACAGCCCATTGCACTGGTTAAATCAGCAAGAGGCACCAGCAGATCAAGCGGCACATCCCCTCTCAGATGGTTGGGATGGATGCCTCTACGGGTTCTGCGAACGTTGCTCACTCGGTGGGCCGAGGAAGGCCCGCCTTTGAAGGCCTTTTCCAAGGCCTCCGAGTCTCACGCCCCCGCTGACACTGCCACAGCCCATGCAGCAGAACAGCGCCACTCCATCAGGAGTGCCTATGACATGAATGGTGTGGCCCTGGGTCTCCTGCACCAGGGTGCTGACCACGGAATTGAACCCGAGGCAGTCCCCAGCAGGGTCGGGCGGATCGGAGCAAACACGGATCAAGAAGCACCTGCGGCAAGCCAGTGTGCCGCACATCCAAAGAAATTGGTGGCCCCTCACCTCCTCAGGCAAGGGGCGCGACCAGTAGACCACCAGACAGCAGGAGGAGGGGGAGGAAGGGGAGGAGGAGGAGGAGCCCCCCTCCCCCCCCCCCAGAGGCGGGGGAAGGGATTACAACTCCCACGCCAACCACGCCCAGCACCTCGGCTGCGGCGCTGGCGGAGGCGGCACTGCCTCCAGCGGTGGCCTGGCGTCTGGCGGTGGCGCCAGCGGCGCCAGCAGTGGCTCCAGCACTGGCGGCGCTTGGAGCGCCTGACCTGCCCAGCCTCTGGCCGGGTCTGCAAGGTGCAAGCTGGGACCGTAGCAAACAGGCTTTTGTCTTAAACACCAGAAACTTCTTAACGCTGCTGGTCCCAAGGTCCAACTCGGACAACTCAGTAACCGAGGGTCTGCCATGGGTCATTGCCGCCGCCTTCGCTAGGACGTCAGCCCAATGGTTGTCTTTAGCCTTGTACCAGCCACTCGAAAGCACTCAAAGCTGTCAGCATTCAAATGGCCTTCCACTGTCGTTACAGCTACTGCCTTTTCTATGAGGGAGGTGGCTCAAGGCAAGTATAACAGGTCCAGCATAGTAAGACTTGCTACCAGCAACCACTGCCAAGGCCTTTTAGTTACCAACGACAAGCCCTTTGTAGTCCGTGGAGAGCTCTGCAGCCGAGCGCGCGCGCTTACAACCAGCCAAGAAAGCGACATGTTCAGAAGCATGGCTTGTCTGAGGTAACTTCGAGCCAACTTTCCCAGACAAGACGGCGAGGGGCTCTCTATCCTCCTCAAGACAGAGGCAGGCCCAGCCAGCATGATGGTGCACTTTATGACCTTCTTTATAGCACGAGCCATCGTGATATCATACTTTGTCCCTGAAAGCTTCCAAGGGAGTCGAAACAGGATCAACACAACTGAAATAGGATTATTCTTATCTTCCCTGCACAGAAGCGAAGACACCTGAGCCTCCAAGAACTCATCTTTAACCACTTACGTCACAGAACAACCAAATATTCGATGATGGAGATCGTCCCGAGGGTGCGGACAATGGGGGCAGGATACATCTTCAACCACGTAGCCCAACTGGGCCAATCTCCACTTAGACCACAAGCTCTGCGTGATGAAAGCCTCAAGCATGGCACGTTCAAGCTGCGACAACACACTGCTTGGAGAGAGAAGCTGCTTGCACACTGTGACGTCCAAGATCTCACCAGGGTGGCCTAACTTCTTAGCCGCCTTCATAGACAACATCTGCATCCAAGCTGCCCGAACATCACAGAGCACGTTAGCAGGGGAAGTCGTAGTGATAACTAGAGGGAGGGAGGGAGGGAGGGAGGGAGGGAGGGAGGGAGGGGGGGGAGGGAGGAGAAGCGGGGGAGGAGGGAGGAAGAGGGAGGAAGAGGGAGGAAGAGGGAGGGAGGGGCGAGGGACAGTTAGGGAGGAGGGAGGGAGGGAGGGGCCCCAGGGCAATCTCGCCGGACGCACGGGCCGCAGGCCAGCCACAACATGCCTCGAGCCGTCTGTGCGGGTGTACGCTGCCGGGCTGCGGCCTCGGAGGGTTTCGGCACAGGTGAGGGGTCCGAGGTGTGGCTGCGTCTTCGACGATGCTGAAGCCTGGCGCACGAGGCGGCCCACGCCCGTGGGTTCTGAGTCGTAGTCTCTGCTCCCTCCCGTCTTGCTGCCTGCCGTCCTCTCGCCTCCTCCGTGGCCGTGATGGCTCATGCCAGGTCTCTTCACGCTTCACGTTGAACGCAGCCGCAGCTGCAACAGACACCGCTCAAACCAGACCGGCTCCAGGCGTGCGTGACATGCTTGCCAGAGAAATGCTCACCGTCATATCACGTATATTCTAGTATCAAAAATATGTGATTCTTCCTGGCTGTCTCGCCAGCGGTTTGGGGGAGTGACTGGCCCGCACAGTGCAAGCACACGTGAGGTCAGGAATACACTCTCAGAGAGGGAGGGAGGCAGGGAAGAGGGAGGGAAGAGGGAGGGAATTGCTGGAGACGACTGCCCACCAGACACGAGAGCGGACTGACAAGCAGGCACGAAAAATGCGTCGGCTGGCAATGGAGACATCAGGGAGGGAGCATTTGGAATGAGAACGCCAGCGTGATACCAGATGTACCCGAAATACAATCGCTCCCTGCCGAAACTGGCAATCATGTTGAAGAGGCAGCTTGACAGGAAAACCGAAAGAGGAGGGAGGAGTAAGGAGGGAGGGGAGAGGAGAAGGGGGATTCGACGTTCTTTGCCCTTTTGGGACCCCCTGGAGGGGGCCCGTCGCCATGGCTGGACCCGCCCCGGATTCCTGGCCAGAACGCGCCAAGGACAGGTCTGGGGCCGAGTTGCAGGAGGAGGAGGTGGAGGAGGAGGAGGAGGAGGAGGAAGTGGAGCAGTAGCGACAACAGAAACACCTCCCTTCCCCACCACCGCATGGAAATGCCAGCATCTGCGGCGCTACTCCCTGCGTCAGCGGCGCTGTCGCGCACTCGTGGCTTGCGCCGTGCGCATCGGCGCGGGGAACGCCATTGGCTACGCGGCGCCGCGCACCTGTACCACGACGAAATTGATCGGCAACCGCTCTGTCATCCACGCTGGGCCGTCTTCCTCCGTCAAGGCCGAATTCCTCCGTCGGCCCCCCCTCGGGGTGCCCGACTCACGTGCCCCCCATCGAAGCGCTCATCTTCCAACCCTCTCGACCTTGGCAGAAAGGGCGCAAGGCGCGGTATTGGTCGTGGTGGAAAAGGACGTGGAGCACTTGCGCACCGCCGTTGGCGTGGAGGCAGGCGTGGCTCCCCAGCTCCCCAAGGGGGTGCACCGAACCATCTCGCACTGGCCAAACGGCAAGTACGGTTGACTAGGCCTAGGGATGGGGCCGTGCCCGTATTGTTCATCGCAGCCGTGGTCGTGTCGCTCGAGCGAGCGGCGATAAGGCGAGCTTGCCGACGCGCGCATGGCTTGCTGGTAGGTGTGTGGCTCGTCCACGCCTCACCCTTGGCATCGACCTCGAGGATAGGGTTGGCCTCGATAATGGCGTCCTCAGTAGGACGGCTGGTGAGGTCGACACATCACCCGCTGGATGGAGCGTCTGAGGCGGACTTACTCGTGGTCGTGCAAATGTGAGTACTAGTAGGTGTAGTCCGGGCCTCACCGGCAACAGGCTCCAGACTGGTGTAGAGGAGCTCGGCGGGCATCCCGTTGGGGAAGAAGATGTGGTGCTAGAGCCCTGTCAGCCTGTTACCGTGCCGAGTCAGTCATTCAAAAAATTGCAACCTGGTTGGTGACCTTAACGTGACACCCTGTAGGTAGGAAGCTCCCAGGAGCAGCGGGACCCCTGTGGAGTGGCAAAGGCGACTCTGCGTGCGCACGCGTCCTGGTGGGAGCCGTCGTGAGGCACTCGAAGGGCTGGTTGGAAAGCGTGTGCTCGCGCCCCTGCTCCAGCTGAGCCTCAGCGGTGAGGATGTGGCGCGTCTGCTGTGCGGCATCCTCGGTGGGCTCTAGAGGAAGGTCGGGCGTGCCCCCCGACGGATTTGGGGGCGAAACATGAAGAATACTCAAACAAATCGTCCCCCGACTATTCTTTGACCATTTTTGAACATTCCTCGTGTAGAGGGACTGGCCCGACTTAACTCTAGAGGAACGCGCGCACCTGGTGGCTCGGTAGACTCAGGGGCCTCTGGCCGTGACGAGGGCTTCCCAGACTGGGAGTTACCACGAGCTCAGGTCGGTTGGGCTCGACAAGCCCTGTGCAATCCCTCAGGTCGGTGAGCGAGCACACGTGGAGGCACCGAGAGGACGGGCGCGGGGAAGAGGGAGGAGGGGACGGGGGGGGTGCTAGATCGTATGGGACGCGTGGGGGTTCTAAGGGGTTATGGGGGGCTCCTTCTCTACCTCCCCGTCCTGGTCCTCCTCCCCCTCCTCGCTATTTTCCTCACCCTTCTTCCCGGGAAGAGGGCAGCAGAGCGGGGAGAGGGAGGAGGTAGGACTTGAGAGATTTTGAGAGGTAGAAAACTTCAGGAGGCTCGGAAGGCCCTGCATCCCTCTCTCCTCATCCCTCCTGCCTGCCAGTTCCCTCCCTCCCTTCCTCATTCCTCCTCCTCCTCCTCCTCCTCCTCCTCCTCTTCCTCCTCAGCAGCAGCCGCAGCAGAATCAGAATCAAGAGCAAAAGCATCACCATCCTGATATCACCATCATCACCATCATCATCAGCAGCATCATCAGCAGCAGCATCATCATATCCATCATCATAATCATCATCATCATCAGCATCATCATCATCATCAGAGTCAGCATCAGCATCATCATCATCATCATCATCATCATCAGCAGCAGCAGCATCAGCATCAGCATCAGCATCATCATCATCATCAGCATTATCATCATCATCCACGTCATCATCAGTATCATCATCATCATCAGCATCATCATCATCATCAGCATCATCATAATCAGCATCATCATCATCATCATCATCATAATCAGCATCATCATCGCCATCGTCATCGTCATCATCATTATCAGCATCATCCTCAGCAGCATCATCATCATCGTCATCGCCATCGTCATCGTCATCGTCATCATCAGCATCAGCATCAGCATCATCATCGTCATCATCGTCACCGTCATCAGCATCATCAGCATCATCCTCAGCATCACAAGCATCGTAATCATCAGCAGCAGCACAATTATCAACAGCAGCACCACCACCACCATCATTAGCAGCATCAGCAGAATCACCATGATGACCATCATCATGATATCATGTCATTAGCATCAGCAGCAGTATCATCATCGTCATCATAATCAGCATCAGCATCATCTGCATCATCGTCACCTTCATTACCGCCGTCGTCATAATCATATCAACAACAGCATGATCAGCAACACCACCATCACCATCAGGATCAGCATCTGCAGCAGCATAATCAGCATCATCAACAGCATCATCATCATATGTATCAGTATTACCACCATCATTACCACCACCACCACCACCCTCATCATCAGCAGCATCATCGTATCACCATCCCTCTCGCTCTCCTCGTCCTCATCCTCGTCCTCATCATCCTCCTTAGGATCGGCGTCCGCGCCATCCACCGATCAACGAACGCCGAGACCCAGGCCCGATAGCGCGCATCCCGACGCCGCGGGACGCGCCAGCCTTCATCTGGATCTGCTCGGCGTCTGTCCAGAGATCATAGTTTTACCACTCCTAATATCACCACCTCAGCACGCACGTTGCTTGCCTGTGCAACCGAAGTGGCGGGTGGGTCGCTGACAACCCGCACCTAGATGCCTGCCTAGCCAACCTTCCCATTAACCCACCGCCCTCCTCGCGCTCCCGCTCCTCCTCCTCCTTCCTCCTCCTCCTCCTCCTCGTCCTCTCGCTCCTCCTCCCTCCTCCTCCTCCTCCTCCTCCCCTTCCTCCCCTCCTCGTCCTGCTCCTCCTCCTCCTCCTCCTCCTCCTCCTCCTCCTCCTCCTCCTCCTCCTCCTCCTCCTCCTCCTCCTCCTCCTCCTCCTCCTCCTCCTCCTCCTCCTCCTCTATTGCACTCCGCCTCTGGCCTCCTTCTCTTGATGACCGTGTTCGCCGAGCCCCGAGGTCCCAGCGGCGTCTGCCCCAGAAGTGCGCCCAGTGGACCCGAATCTGCGGGGGCGCCTAAGAACATCTTGGAGACCCCACGTTCCAAGCGAGCACCCCTCCTACGGCAAGATGGGGCCGTCGCCACAAGGAGAAGAGGAGAGGAGGAGAGCTGCTTGTTGGCTTCGACGCCATCTGCTCAAGTGGGCAGCCTCCAGCAATGCGGGAAAGAGAGGAGCAGAGGAGGGAGGGGCATGGCCACGAAGGAGCCCCCCGGCTCTTGTGAGCGTTTTCTTATTCAGCGTTTCGACATTGGGCGGAAGGGGGGGGAGGGGGGGGGAGTCTGGCTCCAGACGTCTGCTTAGTGCGACGGGTTGCCTCATGCAGTGCGTCCTGTGATGAGTCACCACCAGCCTAAAAACGGCTCCAAAAAACGCCAAGTCCCCCTCTCTACTCCAGGAAGGGGGGGAGGGGGGGGGGGGCGAGGGCCCGCGCCAATCGGCAAAACAGCCAAGATCTACTCCAGGGAGGAGGGGAGGGGGGGGGTGCGAGGACCCGCGCCGATCGGCAAAACAGCCAAGATCTACTTCAGGGAAGGGGGGAGGGGGGGGGGAGGGCCCGCGCCGATCGGGAAAACAATGACTAAGAAAACGATCCTCTTGCGACGTGCTCCTGCTCAGAAGGCGCCTCCTTAGAAGGCCGTTGCCCCCTCGCCCTGCCTGGCCCACCCCACCTGCACGTCGCCGATGCCCCTGGGGGGGAACGAAGAGATGCCGATTCCCGCTGCTCCCCCCGATGCCTCCAGGTTGCTCCTCCTCCTCCTGATCCTCCTCCTCCTCCTCCTCCTCCTCCTCCTTCTCCTCCTCCTCCTCCTCTTCCTCCTCCTCATCCTCCTCCTCCTTCCTCCTCCACCCCCTCCCCCTCCTACCTCTCCTCCTCCTCCCTCCTCCTCCCCCTCCTCCTCCTCCTCCTCCTCCTCCTCCGCCTCCTCCTCCTCCTCCTCCCTCCTACCTCCTCCTCCTCTCCTCCTCCTCCTCCTCCTCCTCCTCTCCTCCTCCTTCCTCCTCCTACCTCCTCCTCCTCCTCCTCCTCTTCCTCCTTCCACAATTATCAATATGATACCACTCTCCCTCTTTCCCCCTGATGACGTCTTGGGAGTAGCCGCCCCCCCCCGCGTAGTGTTGTTTACACACAGGTTTCCCCAGAGTTGGGTTTTCGCCTGCATTTGTTCCCAAAATGCTGCTCTCGCTGAGGCGCCGGCCTCATTTT